ACAGGAATGGCAGATACACTAAGGTAGACCACAACGTCATCACCTGCACAGATCTGAGCGCTGCCTTCTACAATGTGATTTGGAAAAGATGTCAAAAGTATCAATATACATGCAAAACACTGTGCTTATATGCAACTACTGTATAACAAACACAAGTTAATGACTATTATAACTGATGTTGACAAGTTGTACGGAGTAAAATATTGTTGTTACTGAGTTTCCTGCTGGGTACTCAGTTCCCAGTGCAGAGGTAAAGCAGTCAATGCAGTTATCTGTCAGATTTAATCAGCCAGTGCCTGGTGCTACATCTTGAGTGCTGCGTATGACTCTTCAGAATATTAAACATGAACATGAAGCATTTTGAGCAAAACTAAAACAGACCTCAAGCTTGAGCTAATAAACCTGGTGCCCACTGGGGTTCTGTTAAGGCTGCTGTAACCCCCAGAGTTCATAAAGTGGTTATCCTGAGATGACCTTACAGCCATGCACACATTTACACCAGGGCCAATTTTTCCAGGCCAGTTTTTGGTAATGCTAAACACTTTGCCATCATGCTGTCTGCAATAATGTAAGTTAATTTCACCAGGAATCTGCAGTGCTCTCCGAATAGGCAGCCTTATGAGTAGAACCCTTATTGGATAGATTTTGATGTGCTTCCATGACAGCAGAGAATGCTTCTGACAGAAACAGACATCGGGGCATTTTGCAATGTAACTGATGGCAGTGTAGGAAGACTACATTTGTATTAAAACTCTTGGCTAAAGCACATTTCTAATTGTTTTGCTTGATTGCCTCCTGGAACCCCAGATACTGACTAGTGGCACTAATGTATTTGTTTCCTCACCTGAGTAAACAGAAGGTATCATAATTAGCTCTGTTTCTGGCATAACCATTTTGCCGATATAACTTAAGGTTCGTACAAACCATCAGTCTTACAAGGTAATTTAAAAAAGAGAAAAATCATGGGTCATGAACTACAGCTCTTGGGCGATGCTGTCCAACAGGTTTTATACTGCCTTTAACCTAGAAAGGGAAATTAATTTATTCATAAGTTAATAATGAGACCAATAATATCGGTCTCATTATTAACTTAACAGGGGGGCGGAGCGGTGGCACTGTGGCTAAGGATCTTGCCGGTTCAAATCCCGTGGCCGGCAGAGGAATCCTTCTCTGTTGGGCCCCTGAGCAAGGCCCTTAACCCCAACTGCTCCAGGGGCGCTGTACAAAGGCAGACCCTGCGCTCTGACCCCAGGCTCTCTCCCTGTCTGTGTGTCTGTGTGTCTCATGGAGAGAAAGCTGGGGTCTGCGAAAAGATTAATTCCTAATGCAAGAAATTGTATATGGCTAATAAAGTGATCTTATCTTATCTTATCTCTTAATATAGAATTAAGAGATCAGTGACAACTAAAAATACCTGTGGCTCTAGGAGCTCAATACCTCTGCTATAAATACAGGTGCTGATCAAATTAATTTGCTATAGAACATTTTGCACAATGTACAGCAACAAACAATTCTGGTACAAATAATTAAGGGACAACAAGGACTTAATTGCTGGGGTCAATGATAGTACAAACAACAGGGTATACCACCTGTCCACGATGTCCCTCCATCCATGCATGCTATCAACCCTGCAACTCACAACTGGCAGCTCAGCAGGTGTGAGCCTGGTCAGTACCTGGATGGGAGACCTCCTGGGAACTAAGGTTGCTGCTGGAAGAGAGGTTAGTGGGGCCAGCAGGGGGCACTCATCTGTGGTCTGTGTGGGTCCTAATGCCCCAGTATAGTGACGGGGACACTATACTGTAAAAAAAAAGCCCCTTATCACTCATGGCCTCCTAATAATCCCCATCTTTGAATTGGCTTCATAACTCAGTTCTCCTTCCCACTAATAGCTGATCTGTGGTGAGCGTTCTGGTGCACTATGGCTGCCAGGTGGATGCTGCACATTGGTGGTGGTGGAGGGGATCCCCATTACTTGTAAAGTGCTTTGAGTGGAGTGTCCAGAAAAGTGCTATATAAGTGTAAGCAATTATTAATTATTATTGTTACTACTACCTTGAAGTTCCAAAAATGCAGCAGATTTCAGCATACAGTTTTGTATGTATCACTAGCAGCATCTACTGGATACACTGGGACTGTGCTCCAAGTGGTGTCAGGTTTTATTTGGATTCAGAGTAAACACACTTTCACAGTACAATGCAATATAATAAAACACTATATAAATAAACAAATATCACATTGTTATAAAATTAAGATGCGTGTGTACATTTACACCCATCTATCCATTTTCAGTAACCAGTTAGTCCTATATAGGTTCTCATTATCATTTAACAATATAATATTCATACAGTTGCCATTATTATTCTTAAATAACTTTGATTTAATCCATGATCAACTGTTCAGCTCTTTCAATTTTTTGTGTCATTTTGTTTTCTAATGCAACATTTTTAAACATCAGAAAGGTGACATCATAGCATGTTTAACACTGGGGCTATTTTGCTCTAACATAACCAAACTCTGCAGTCAAAAACTTTGTAAACTTTCAAATGTTTGCAACAGTTCTTTGATTGAGCTTGCTTTATCTTATAAGTAGATTAAGATAAAGACTAAGATACATTTCCTGCTGCAAGTGAATTCAACATATCTTTCCCATCCATGTAAACTGAACAGCATTCAATTTGCACAGTAGTGAAGAAAACATTCCTGCACATGACAAGCCCAGTTTCTCTTAGAATCAGGACTGGAATCCTTCTTTCCATTTTTTGTCCTTACTTTTGACCTTAAGGCATTTTTTTTTCATTCTCCCAGTTTCTCACACGCCCATCAGTCTTTTATTCTGGCTACGAGCCAAGCAACAGGAATCTGGTAAAGAATGAAAATGGACTCTCTTTATGCTGGAGATAAAAGACTCCCGTTGACATTCTCCTCTGACAGCAATTTACTGCCACTTTCAAACAGCTTCAACATCTGACATGCCATCCCAGAAGGCACAGAAAACATCTTACAAACAATATTGATATGAAAGTTTACTGCAAGGGCTAGCTAGCTCCATCGGGAACTAATGTCAGCAGCCCACCAGAGAGGGAGCTAGGCGTTAGCTTATAAATAAGACAGAGTGATGGGCTATAAAGATTCACAGCCAGTTTGAAAGGTAACAGAATCACAAATATACCAATATTCCTAAAAAACACCTTAGTAAGTAAAGTGTTCGTGTACTCTAATCTTGATCATTTAAAGGCTAGTACCAGCATCGATAGCAGCCAAATTAGAGAAATTCCAATCTATTAAAGAGTAAGAGAATGTAGCTGTCATGACTGCATTGTTGTCAAGAGGTGAGATCAACTTTGTTAAATGAATGTGATAAATTGTTCAGGAGCAAAGCAAAATTAATAGCTGGTTTTGGAATATTATTGATGATATAGAAAAGGAATACAGGATTACTGTGACTCAGTAATCCTACATTCCATTTCTCAATGTCGTTCACTGAGGAGGAAAAATATATGTTCCTTCATATCTTAACCTTGGAATGATCTCTAGTGATTGTTTTCCATCGGTTGTTCAGCTCTTTTATAATGTAGAGACCAGAACTATATGCACTATTTGGTACATTGGGATGTAAAATACTATCCTAAAGCAAACAGGTCTTATTAATTATAATTACTTTACCATACTATTGGATATCATGAATTAATGGTAGTTTTATTACACTTGGATACACTTTTTATCCTGGTAAAGCATAAAATAAAGGGGAAGATTTTTATTTTTTTAACTTATCAAAACAGCAGCAGTAGGTTGAAACAATGCACATCATATAACATTACCAAAATGTATGACACTCGTATAAAACAATGGTTTCGAAGTACAGCACTGGGGTCTGAGAGGAAGTTCATTTTAGGGATGTTACCTGGATCCAGTTGATGGAGGATTTAACACCTATGCAAAGACTCCCTCCACTGACCCCTTCTGGGCTCTTCAGATGGATTTTGGCTCCCTCTGCTGCTGAAAAAAAAGTTTGCAAGACTTCAGTCAGCAGATTTCAGGGGTATTTTCCAGCCAGGGTGAACCCTCCACAAGAATTCCCCATCAAGAATAATGCATACCCATTTAAAAAAACAAACAAATTGAGGTCTACAGCTATGATTATCAGTCCTGCTATATTTTACTACATATAACAGAATATATGTAGAAAAGACCTCAAGCTGCCTGCTCTGTCAAGATAGTTCCTGGGCTAGCGTGCTGCTTTTACACTGGCTGCAGTGCTAAAGTCTCGCATTGCTTTCTGGGACTCCTGGCTGAAAACCTCAGGCCTACACAGATGCTCTAAAGCAACGCACTGAGGGTCATATTCATATCACAATGTAAGCACAAATTTGAATGTTTAGCAATAAATCAATACCCAATGAGACACTATAATCATAAATTATAAATAATCTGAAATGCTTCTACTACTGTATATCCAAATGTGTAGACTGTAGACTACAGGGCATAGGAAGATAGACATTCTAGTTTCACGATGATATTTTTTTTAAATTATATTGATGACTTGTTGATCCCTTAATTTATATTTTATAATTGATATGAATTATATCAATTGTTAACAAATCAGTTTCATGACAGCGCACATAATAGTGCTTACCGACGGGCGGCAGAATCGGCCAGAACACTATCCCGCCTAGCGAACACTAAAACCCATTTTACAATGAGCAGTTTTCAAGTAGCAGTGAGAACTACGAATAGTAAATGATACTGATACACACTGGGCCTCTAGGTGCTATGCTAGTACTCTCCCTAGCTCCTAACCAGTGCACCGCTCCATGTGTTTGGTAGCTGAGTCAGCACTGACTCCGCAGCCATGTGCTCGCCGCGCTGATCACAACACTCGATTCGTCATTCGCTGGAAACAGGCCTACGCAAGCAGCGCGCCCTCCCATTGGCTGCGTTCTGACTAGACACCTCCTCCTTGTGACCCTTTACCTTCCTCCTTGGGTATTTCCCGCGAGCGCCAATACTCCATTTGACCCTCGGTGGAGCGGAGAGGCGGATAGATAGCGTCAGGGATGCAAGTCTAGATTTGTAATAGTAGGTTTGATTCAGAGACTCCTAGTAACAAGCCAACAATAAGCTAGCATGGCCAAGCAGAGCAATATTTTCAAGTTCTTTACTAAGTCACCACCTATTTCCAGTAAGCAGAAGACTAACGCGTCTCCTGTTGAAGCGGATCTACCGTCTGCGGTGCGCAAATCTAACACTTCCCCCAAAGAAGAAGCGAAACAAGCAAGTTCTGCAAGCAGCAAGAAAGCCCCGGCGAAGTCCAGCAAAACAACAGTGAAAGCTGGGGTCAGTAAGCTTTTTGCAGAGAAAAAGCCTGCAGTTAAAGAAAGGTGAATATCCAACTTTTCTTTCTACTGTTAATAATATTTGCTGGTGTTTACAAGCAATATTTGGTTGTGTTGTGCTTTGTCATTGAGGGGGGGGGATAATAATAATTACAGTGAGAATAAGTGAAGATCATCTGAAGTCCTTCACAGCGTTGTAGTATTAGTTTGTGTGTGCTGTCCTGTTCTTTCAAACAACCGCATACGTGCCTCGTAAGAGAGTTATTCTTTTTAAACTTGGCACATGTACAATTTCAACGGTGCTGATTACCATCATTCCGTTACTGATCGTCAGTAACGTCCTGTAAAATCTCATGTCCTGAGCGCAAAAGACTATGGTCCAGAATATGGCGGGAAACCTTGTAATGCTAGTTGAGTACAACCGCCCCACTGAGGGCAGCTGCAGAAATCTGGCTTGATTGGCGTGCTCTGTCCCTACAGTAAATCAGTGTAACTTCCTGAAGTGTGGATGGCTTCTTTTGCTGCGTAGACGTTCACGTCTCCCGCCATGTTCTGGCACGCCTGTTGGGACTTGCCTGTAATCGCAATCCGGGCTCTACTGCTCTCCCAGAGGAGAATTTGTGTCTGGGGGCTGTAATTTCCAGCGTGTGCAATAAAGTCGGTAACTGTGCTGGAAGAAAGGGCGCGGTGGAGGAAGTCCGCTCAGTCCAGTTCGGAGTTTACAATTGAAATGCATGCATTGTTTAACCGATGAGATGTGCAGTGACATTCGTACATTGGATAAATAAAAAATAAATCTGCTCTAGATGATCTGTATTCAGTGTTTTCAAGTGCCAAATCCTCAGTAGGTATCCGCATCCCTACTCCCAATATCCTAACCGAATACAAGGTGGTATCCTTAATCTGTGAATCAAAATAAACTGAGGAGCAGAGAAAATGCCCAGTGAATAATAGCGTCTTTAAAGATGTTATGTGAACAAGGTCTAAAATTGGGGCAGCTCTCCCGAGTTCAAAAGAGTTACCTTCATCTTGAGATTTCGGAAAGGAAAAGAACTACAGAGGTTAGAGGTACTTTTTGTGGTGTTGGATTACAATGTGTTCCTTCAAGGCTGAACTGTTGCTGTTGATAAGGGGTCAGGGGCTCAGGTACTGTGGCAGAGAAGGGAAGAGTATGTTCCTGTAAAGTGTTTAGGCTTTAATAAAATATTAAAGCCACTGCCATTTGAATCAGTTGTATGTGACAGTTATTGAACCCAGAAGAACTAACAGTGTGACACTAGAGGCATTTGAGGACCTTGACTGTTCCTAAGTCATTATGTTGTAAAGTCCCATGTCTGTGAGCCTGCCTGTGGCTGTTTTGTTCTTGCTGCCAGCAGCTATATCACCACAACTCACAACTGGCAACCCAGTCAAGCTCAGCAGGTGTGAGCCTGGCCAGTACCTGTATGGGAGACCTCCTGAGAGGGGGGGGAAACTGGAAAAGGTGTTAGTGGGGCCAGTAGGCTGCGCTCACCCTGCAGTCTGTGTGGGTCCTGATGCCCCAGTATAGTAACGGGGACAACTATAGGCCCCATCCTTTGGATGATGCATAAAACTGAGGGCCCGACTCTCTGGTCATTAAAAATCTTGGGGCATTTCTTGAAAAGAGTAGTGGTGTTACCCCAGCGTCCTGGCCTTTACCAATCATGGCCTCCTAATGATCCCCATCTCTGAACTGGCTTCATCACTCCGTTCTCCTCCCCACTGATAGGTGAGTGTACTGGCGCATCATCCAGGTGGTGGTGGAGGGGATCCCCATTACCTGTAAAGTGTTGTGAGAGGAGTGTCCAGGAAAACGCTGCACGAGTGTAAGACGTCTTATTATTGCAGTGAGTCGTGCCAGTTCCGCGCGGGGGCTCTGGTATGGGCGAAGCTGGAGGGGCACCCCTGGTGGCCGTGCCTGGTGTACCCCCACCCTGTGAGCGGGGAGCAGCTGCGGGGACGAGGCCAGGCGCAGCGCCTGCACGTGCAGTTCTTCGACGAGCCCCCCAGCAGGGGCTGGGTCAGCACAAAGTACATCCGGGAGTATGAGGGTGAGGACGCCCACGCTTGCTTTCAATCAAAAACATTGAATCCGCCTTTGCAATTCAATGAAAAACCCACTACCCAAAGCAAAAAAATATTAGTTTGGATAGTTAAACATGCATTTGAATTCTGATAGTATAACATAGCTTGTAGTGTTTTTATATAGTTTAGCTTGTAAGTACACGTTTTTTTTTCTCTGTTTCTGTCGGACTGTTTCTGTTTAAAATGTCCAGTACATATTCTGTCATGTACTGCCATGCTCCTGAGTCTGCTCAAGATCCTGTTCCCTGCTTCAGGCTCAGACTCCAGTGATGCAAAGGTGGGTGGCACGTTCTTCAGTGGGAAGCCGGTGATCCGGAGGGCGATGGAGATGGCAGACAGTGCCATGAAAGACGACCCAGGGAAGAGATTGCAGCTTGCGGTGTGCACAGAGCCCTCTGACGATGAAGACGAGGAAGAGATGGAGGTGAGCTGCTCTGTTTGTGTAGGCTGGAGTTGATGTAGTACCCATTACTATTTTCTTGAAATGTCATTTGTTTATTTGCTCTGAGGTGTAAAAGGCCACACCTTACCAGAGCAACAAGGCAGGTATTTAAAGGTGAAGGAAGGAAGTTGCAAAAAGAATCCTTTTACGTCCGATGATGAAAATGGCTTGTGCCCAAACCATCAAACCATTTAACCATTTTTTTTGGTTAAATACCCCCCAGATAAGTGAAACACTATGGAAATAATTTTGTTTTTGCAAAATTGGTAGGGGAAAGGTCACATTAAAGACTTTGATGTACTTCCTAGGTGGACAAATCATCAGACAGCGATGAGGAGGAGGTGAAGCCCAGCCGGAGGACCAAGAGGAGGAGTCAGGAGTCTGAGCAGAAGACCAAGAGGCGCCGGATCACGGTGGCGTCGGACAGCGAGAACTCGGACGAAGAGTTCCGGCCCGAGGAGGCGGAGGCCAGCAGCGACGAGGCCAGCAGCAGCGGGGTGGACGAACACGAGGTCAGCGAACCGGAAACGGAGTCCGAGCCGGAGAGCCCCGTCAAACCCGTCAAGCGCAAGAGGGAGCCTGAAAGAGCCTCGAAGATGGGCAGTTCCTCCGAGACGCCAAAGAGATCCCCGTCCGTGTCTGTGGATACCAGGTCCAGGCTGTCGGCCTTTTCTGCTCCAGAGACTTTCGAAAGCCAGACAAGTTCTGGGGGAGCTGCTGGCAGTGGCGCCACAGTCTGGGACCACGAAAAATTGGACTGGCTTCAGGATGGCAAAAGAAAAGATGCCAAGAGACGGAAACAGACAGACCCCGACTATGATCCCTGTACTCTCTTTGTCCCAGAGGACTTCTTCAACAAAGCCACTCCTGGCATGCGCAGGTGGTGGCAGCTCAAGTCTGAGATGTTTGATGCTGTGCTTTTCTACAAAGTGGGTAAATTCTATGAGCTGTACCACATGGATGCTGTTATAGGGGTGAACGAGCTAGGGCTGACCTTCATGAAGGGTACCTGGGCTCACTCCGGCTTCCCTGAGATTGGATTTGCTCGCTTCTCTGATGTTCTCGTCCAAAAGGGGTACAAAGTGGCAAGAGTGGAGCAGCTGGAGACCCCAGAGATGATGGAGGCTAGATGCAAAAGCATGGTACGTCCCACTAAGTTTGACAGGGTGGTGCGCAGGGAAGTGTGCAGGGTGATCACCAAAGGCACCCAGACCTACAGTGTCCTGGATGGTGCACCTTCAGAGAGCCACAGCAAGTACCTGCTGTGTATCAAGGAGAAGGCGGTAGAGGAGACCTCTGGGTGCCAGCACACCTACGGGGTGAGTTTCGTGGACACTTCGGTGGGCAAGTTCTACGTAGGTCAGTTTCAAGACGATCGCCACTGTTCCCGTTTCAGGACTCTAGTTGCACACTACAATCCAGCTCAAGTGCTTTTTGAAAAGGGAAACCCCTCCGCCGAAACTAGAAAGATTTTGAAAGCTTCCCTGGCTTCTGCCATGCAGGAGGGTTTGCATCCTGGATCTCAGTTCTGGGATGCTTCTAAAACACTAAAAGTCCTCGCTGAGGAGGACTACTTTAAAGAGAACGGTACAAAAAATGGAGATGCTAAGGAGACACTGCCTGCTGTGCTCAGAGCCATGACCTCGGAGAGTGACACTCTGGGCCTCACACCTGGGGAGGGGTATGAGCTGGCCTTGTCTGCGCTTGGCGGCTGTGTGTTCTACCTGAAGAAGTGTCTGGTGGACCAAGAGCTGCTGTCTATGGGTAAATTTGAGGAGTATGTTCCCCTTGATGTGGAAATGAACCAGGCTGGGGGATCCACCAGCTTCTTTGCCAAGACCCAGCAGCGCATGGTGTTAGATGGTGTTGCACTGACTAACCTGGAGATCTTGCAGAATGCAGCAACAGGCACAGCAGAGGGCACCCTGCTGGAGAGGCTGGATACTTGTTGCACACCCTTTGGTAAAAGGCTCCTGAAACAATGGTTATGTGCTCCGCTGTGCAATCCCTTCTCCATTAGTGACCGACTGGATGCCCTGGAGGATCTCATGGCTGTCCCTGACAAAATGGCAGAATCTACTGAGTTGTTAAAGAAGCTTCCTGACCTGGAAAGACTACTGAGCAAGATCCATAGCATGGGCTCTCCCCTGAAAAGCAAAGATCACCCTGACAGTAAGGCCATCCTGTACGAGGAGACTACCTATAGCAAGCGTAAGATTGCAGACTTCCTTTCTGCCCTAGAAGGCTTCAAAATCATGCAGCAGATTATTTCAGCCTTTCAGCCAGCTGTGAAGGACTTCCGGTCTAAGCTGCTGAGGCAGGTGGTCACCTTTAAAGCTGAAAGTGAAGAGGGGCTTTTCCCAGACCTGTCTGGGGAGCTAAACAGGTGGGACACGGCCTTTGACCACCAGAAGGCTCGCAACACTGGCATCATAACTCCCAAGAGTGGCTTTGACCCAGAATTTGACCAGGCTCTGATTGGAATCAAGCAAACAGAGGCCTCCCTGCAGGAGTATCTTGACCGGCAACGCAAACGTCTGGGCTGCAAGGCTATAGTATACTGGGGCACTGGCAGGAATCGCTACCAGATGGAAATTCCAGACAGCGTCACGGACAGGTATGTGCCTGAAGACTACGAGGTCAAGTCCACCAAGAAGGGTTGCAAGCGCTACTGGAGCAAGGACATTGAGCGACTGCTGGGGGACTTGGTGAGCTGGGAAGAGAAGAGGGATGGAGCACTGAAAGACTGCATGAGGAGGCTCTTCTACAACTTTGACAAGAATCACAAAGACTGGCAGACTGCAGTGGAGTGCATGGCGGTCCTAGGTAAACTCGCACGCATCTACATGTGGTCACAATAATAAGTATACCAAATTCTGCTATAGTTAACCTCTGTGACGTGGTTATCTAGAATAGGTTTAGGATCCAAATTTGTTGGCTTGCTGCATTCTCATGACCCATCCTTTTAGTGTGGGAGTTTACCTCTTAAGTGTAGCGCTTCACAATTCTCCCACTCTAGAGATGCATATTGGAACAGCAGGAAGTGCAGGTTTACATGCTGCAGCCCTATGCTAAGAATAGTATTTACACCCCACTTTCCAGCCTAAAGATGAAGAATTTGCATTTGCATCTAACATCCTAAACTTTCAAGATGTAAATGATTATGTGGAATAGTAAGGTGGTTCGAACAAAGACATGCATATCGGAATAATCCGATAAGAATATTTGAGGGTTTAAGGGATCTGAGTCATGTGATGGCTTATACTTTGTCTGGACCTTCTGTTTTCATGATTGATAAATGTGTGTGTGTTCCTCCTTTTACCTTGTCAAATACCTTCACAGGGGTACTGCAAAGCCTACATGTAGTTTTTCCTGAAGGAGAGAACTTTTCATGATTAAATATTGATCTGTGGTGTTCAAGGAGTAAAAACCGATAAGACTTGTTTGTGCCCGAAGTCTTGATAGTGTTTTTCTCCGTCATTGACTTTCTGGGTTGTTGGTTTCTTCCATTATATGCAGGTAGTGTAGATATGGTTATATCACTTTGTGCTTATCTCGCATTAAAACTTTAAAGGACAAAAATTCCTCTGGGCACTTCTTTGAGAAGCCTTAATTCCAGAATATAAAGAGATTAATTTTAAGTTTGAATAGTAGCACAGATTCCAAATTAAACAGGTAATATTTTATGGAGTAATAAGTGCATAATTGGGTCTGGCAGGATAGGAAGGTTATTTTTTTTAATGAATTTGGAGATCCACTAAAAAAACTCTTCTTGCACCCACCAAGTTTATAAGCACACATTGCTGAGGTGCCCTCAGTAACCCTGAGTGTGGATTATAGAGTAGCAGAACTGACAGCAGGCCGACTCTGCCCCCAGATGTGCTGCTCTGCTTGGCCCGGTACAGTCAGGGGGGAGACGGGCCCATGTGCCGCCCGGACGTGCTCTTACCCGAGGACTCCGGCTCGCAGCCCTTCCTCCTGCTGAGCGGCTCCCGCCACCCCTGCATCGCCAAGACGTTCTTCGGAGACGACTTCATCCCCAACGACGTCTGCATTGGCTGTGCTGGCGGGGAGGAGGGGGAGGACGGGCAGGCGTCCTGCGTGCTGGTTACCGGGCCGAACATGGGTGGCAAGTCCACCCTCATGAGACAGGTGAGCCCCCTGCCAGGTCTATGTTCCGATCACAGCAGGATCCTGCCTTTTAAAAGAAAACCGCTTGGAAAAGGTACCTCAAGTGTCTTGATGCATTTGGAAGTGCTCTTTGAGAGGAAATGCAAGATACTTCTTTTAAACGAAGTCCAATATCCAGGTAATGCAGACCTTGCTCGTATTGAAACGAGCTGTGACTGAGCACTTGCATGCTCAAGCAGTGGTTCCCAATGCTGGTGCTGGAGTACCCCTGAGTCTGCAGGTTTTTGTTTTAAATGGGAACTTAAAAAAATTTTAATTGATGCTTTCCGGCTTATGTTCTTTTTTAAATACTCATTTTATGTTTTACCATTACCCTTGTTTATTTCCAAGATCTTGAGAAAGCAGAACATTGGTAGTCTTTCTTCACATTGCTAATAATTTCCTCCACTATTTCCCATTGATCAGCTCTTGATAAGTGATCAATTGATGATTAACAGATGGGTAGGATTGAAAACAGTATTGGAAACACTCCTATAGTGAATCACTGTTTTTCCTCCTGCTTAAATCCAAGTGCTTATATTTCAGCTTGCACAGCTCAGTGAGGGTTGCTGCCAATTAGAAATCTCATTAAGAGCTCAAAATAGATTTTAAAATAAGACCTCAAAAACCAAAAGCTACCAGTGTTACCCAGTAACAAGGATAAGAAGCACCATACTGTAGTATTTGTGAAAGCAAGGCCTGAGTGCGGGGAAAATGGATGAACAAGACAGCGTTTAAGTGACAGCAGTTAGCAGTGGTGAGGACCCAGTTTGAACAGACCAGCAGAAATGAGGTATTCCAGGACTGAGGACCGCTGTTATAGAGAGATCAGATTGTAAATGGGGAAGTTTGCTTGATACGTAATTCTGTGATTACTTAAAATTAATTATACCGCAAGCCAGAAGCAGGAGTAATCCTGTGATTTACAGTGCTGCCCTGTGAAATGACTGAAGAACAAGTTGGGTAGGAAGTCAGAGGAGCCACCATTGCAGGGTGCAAGTGTAGTTCCACTTCCTGCTGTGTGACTGAGGGGGGCAGCTGCTGCCATTGTTCACCTGCAGATGGTTTTTACAGGAAGTGGTACAGCAGATGTAAAACAGCTGATAGTGTACTGCTTTTTCTTTTAACGACTTTCTCAGTTAAAAACTGAATGAGCACTAGTCTAACTCTTTTGGCAGTTGATGCTGCAAGGCCCAAGACATCCATACCTAATTAAACAAATGCAGCCTTGCATATTATAGTAAATAGAAAAGTCAAATTATATCTTGCAGAATGCAGAGCATTGGTTTCGTGGACAGTCTGCACCACTTCGCTATGTTCCCTTTTTGTGCACTTGTATTATATTTTAGTGTGGTATACTGAGATACTGATGCACCTGATCCTATGCTGTGTGCTCTCTGCAGTGTGGTCTTGTGGTCATTTTGGCCCAGCTTGGCTGCTACGTTCCTGCAGAGAGCTTTAAGCTGACACCAGTTGACAGGGTCTTCACTAGGCTGGGAGCATCGGACAGGATCATGGCAGGTGAGAGGCTGGGAGGCTCACATCTCTCTAAATACGGGTCACTGTTACAGTCGGGGAGAATTTAGATCTTTGGTCACCTTTCTAATTTCCCTTTTAGGTGAAAGTACTTTCTTTGTGGAGCTAAGTGAGACTGCAAGCATTCTTCACCACGGAACATGCCATTCCCTTGTGCTCCTTGATGAATTAGGTAACTGACTTCTTGTTCTGTTAATCCTTCAGTTGCTGTGCTTCTGCAGAGATTGAAGAAGATCCAGCAGCTTGCTAGTGGTATATGATACTTGTGACTTCTCTGGAGAAGAGCTATTCTACCAGCTGCATTATGAAATGTATAGTGTTAAGTGTTTTAAAACATTAAAAGCCTCATTTTAATCCTTTCTTTCCAGGAAGGGGCACAGCTACTTATGATGGAACTGCAATTGCAAGTGCTGTGGTTAAAGAACTGGCAGCAAACATCAAATGTCGCACTTTGTTTTCCACCCACTACCACTCCCTTGTGGAAGATTTCTCACACTACCCCGCAGTGCGCCTGGGCCACATGGTAGGTGCAGTCTCCCAATATCGCTCTTCGGTTCCAGCTTCGTTTTCCTCTCATTTTTGGTTAACCATTCGTCAGTAGCAGAGTCAAGTAATTACAGCGTGAGTAAATCCTGCACTGGTATGGAGGGGAAGTGCTGTTTTCATATTCAAGTCTGCCATCTCTATGGAGAGTGCTGCGAATGCCACAAGAGGCCATTTTGCTGCTGATCTACAACTTAGCCTAAAGTCTCCTTTAACCAAAAGGAGACTAACCAGTTATCTGTGCCACTAATCACTTGAGAACCTTGGGCAGATCTTTTTCAAAACTGAAAAGTAGTTGTTAAATCCCTGAACAGAGGAGATTGCAGTAGTGAGCAGTTTTCTACTCACTTTGTGTAGGTTAAAGGAGATACAACAGTTTAAACAACTCATTCATTTTCCTGCTTTGTATGTTATAGCTGACTGTGATGCAGTTGGCATGCAAGGATAAATTACAGTAGTGATTTAAAATTCTCATTTCCATTCTACCATGGTAACACGATCAGTCCTATTTATGCCAGCCTGTGACCTTGCTTTGTTTGCAGGCATGCATGGTTGAGAATGAGTGCGAAGACCCAAGCCAGGAAACTATCACATTCCTGTACAAATTCATTTGTGGAGCCTGCCCAAAGAGCTATGGATTCAATGCTGCCAGACTCGCTAACATCCCAGAGGACGTCATTCAGACTGGCCATAGGAAGGCAAAGGAATTTGAGAGGACCACCACCTCCCTTCGGATTTTTAAGTAAGTAGTTAACTTCTGTTTCTCAAGATGAACTGGGATGATGCAGTTTTATATTTGTTTTTCCCCTTTTAGCCTGACTTGAAGGAAGTGATTATTTTATCACTGAATCCTAGTGAACTTGAGGCCTCATAAAGCATAAGACTTATGGTTTGGGAGTAAGTTTTAGGACAGGTGTTTTTTTTTCCCTGATAGACATTCATGGCTTCTGCCTTGTTGAATTGGTACCTGCTAATACAGCAAGAATAACGTCTTTCTTAAAGGTATTTTATACAGCAAGTCATTCCCCAAAGAGCTACAGGATTCAGGCTCATATAAGACCTGTTATTTGCTTTAATCCCAAGGATTTCTTTATGATTTAGGGGCATTTAAATGACAAGTCTGTATATTTCTATACCATTACAATGCATAGAGAAGTTGGGGAATCCAGGATAAACCTAAAACGTTAGTATCAAGTAGGAGCTTTTGGGATCAAGCCTCATGCTAGTCATAAATTGAAATGCTTATTGTGCACCTTAAGGGGGGTTCTAAATATAAGTACCAGGATCATATGAACAAAGACTCTATTCTCTTGTAGGCAGCTCTGTTCTTTTGCTGAAGACGTAAATGCTGACTCAATTTGCTTCTCTACGCTGATGAAGAAAATGATTGCAGTTTAAACAGCTTCACGCAGTCTCAACCATCCCATTACCCCCCATAAAATGTTCTTCAATACTGTAATGATCTAATAAAGTTTATTTTTAAAAATGACCAGTTTCCTTGTTTTTTCTAGGAAATTAAACCCTTTTAATTCATACTAGCATCTACATAATGGTTATTGAATACTCCACAATATATTAAGTCTAGATGTTATGGTACATGCATACACTTTCAGGCTGTATGATAACCCACTGTCACCAATACACATGAATGAAAAAGCTATGAAACTGTATACGGCTGTATATATACTTGTCTCAGCTTCAATATAGCAAGAAGCTTATCTATTTATAATCTCCAGTAATGTTACATACTTAGACAAGCACCGCATTGCTCAGAAGATAATGAACAACCGAGCCTGCTTGAGCAGTGTTTCCATGAGACCTGTTATAGTGTTTCCATTTTCATTCCTCAACATTTTTAAAGTTACCTAACATTACCTTGCTGTAATGTTCAATTAAAACCAAATGGGCAGGAGCATCTTACACGCTGAAGGTAAATGTTCCATAGTAAAAGTCAATTCTTTCTATATAAATACATTACAGAAGGAAAATAGGTCAGCAAGGTCTAAATACACTTCTACAATAACCAGTCTCATGAAAACACTAATGCTTAAACCAAACTTAAACTTTTTACATTAAAACAACATTACTGGAGGTAATTTTAGTGTTTTTTGTTTTTTTCCTCTTTCACAGAAAGAACTTTAGATACTGGGACATGAGTACAATTACAGCAAGTCTAAGGTGTGCTAACCAAAAAAAAGACATTCAAGTACAGTAAGATTTTTGCTTGAAAATACAAAACTACATGAGAAAGCATTAAAATCATATTTCTCAATCAGAGTACATATTTAAAAAACAAACAAAGCAGAAGTGCTAGATCACATTTTACCATACATATATACCGATGCACTCAGTACCCATATATCCATCAACGGCAGCAAGATGGGTATAGCTCTGCTCCTTAAGAGAATAGTAGTGCTGCTGGGAGGACTATGGCTCGATGCTACTTGTAAAAACACCAGCTCTTAGGAAGTTGGATCTGTACAAAACTGCAGCTTAACGTTCCACTTCAGGCATAGGAAGTCTCTCGTTTTCCACAGTAATGCTCGACTGCCCAGTACTTTCATTAATCCTGAGTCAACATATTGCTTCTCTTCACTTTAAAGTCCTTTTAACACATTGCAGGAACAAACTGAGGCTGCAAAAAAGCTTCACATCCAGACACTGGGACTCTTTTAATGCAATCTTCCTTCGGAACTGGGCAGCTGTGTTGTCCGTGTTTCATTTTAGTTTTTCTCCACAAACTTTAACTTTACACATGGAGTCACTAACTAGAGAATGGCAGAAGCTCTCGATTTTCATTGAGTTCAGTTGTGCTGCAATGTATTTGATTCTATAGGTGGAGCCGAGTCATACAGTGTGTCTGTATCATGTGTAGGCTCTCCAGCTAATGTGCAAGGGTTAGACAATGTTCCAGCACCACAGTCACAGAAAAACCTAAAAAGGGACAAGAGAAAGGTTGTTACACACTGCACACACTATCCAATGCTAGACCAGAGAGAATAAGTACAAAATCTGCTGTCAAGTTTTCTGGTGTAGCTTAGCTTGTCAGCAGGGTTTCCTTGCAAACCTAACCCTTACAGCAGTTTTGAGGAAATCTTAGTTGATCAAATATACTGAGCATCCAATTAATCAAGTCCAGGTTGTTTCATGTAGCACTGTGCAGGCAGGTTGCCAACAATCACACATAGTGAACCTCTACCAATAAGACACACTAGCCCATTCCATCACAGCTGTACCTGTCTATCAGTATTGCCAAGGTGCTGTCATTCACCATCTCTTATATTGTGCTCAATTTACAGAAAGCATTTGACTGAAGCGTCTCACTCCAAATGGTAAGTGCTACTCTACTGGCTCCTGTAACTAAACATCAACAGAACAGGACTCTGTAGTTGCTACTAAGAGGGGTACATGGTTCATTTTTTCTTATTTTTCATAATTTTTAGACTTCACATTCAATGGGTTCAATCAGCTGATCGCCCATACTCTAACTCACTGCAATACTAAAGTCTCGGTGGTGAATGACCAAACATTAAACACTTAATTCAAATCCAATAAACGGCTTAAAACATACATGCATAGGTGGAGAACATTCTACCAATTCTCAGTATAAAGCACTTTGCAAACAATTAAGAAAATGTTAAGAAGGAATGATGCCTTTTTCATGAGGCTGGTTAGCAATAATACAATTTTTGACCTCTCAAATCTTAATTCAAACCAAGAAGAACTTCACTGACCTATCATGCCTTATAAACTCTACATCATGCCCTTGATGGCACTTCTTGATGCAGTTCACGCAAATTGCATTGCGGTCTGTTGTGTTACAGGTGTGACACCTATGAGAAAAAACAAAACAAGTATTAGACTTTCCTGAAGTACACAAGTTCAATCTAAAATTATAAAAAAAGGGAGTTTACCTGTAAAAATCGTGCATTGGATAGCTGGTGTAACTTGAAATCTTGTACAGGCACTGACCTCTGCTTACAGCCTTTTCGATGGCATCTTGATTGTTCATTATTTTGTTATCTACAGCAAAACAGGTTTGTTACATTAAATGGTTTCAGATTCCTTCAGTTGCCTTTTATTGCAATAAAAATAAATTCATGTTTTGGTTCTCAAAATCTGCTGCTGAACAGTCTTGTATAGGTTTGCTTCTTCACAAATCAGTAGTAGGCACGAAGCTAAGCCCAGCTCTGAATCACAGAAGTAACTTCAGAACATTTCTATCAATTATACATCTCATCACCCTGGGTGGTATGAGGAGCAGGGTGTTAAATGAGCATCATTCTTTAAGCAGGGAGTGTTTTAGCCCACAAAGGCCAAATATATAATGATTCTAGACTGGGGAAAAATAAAACCAAAATTAAAATTAAAAACAAAATGCTTTTCATTGTTAAACACTGTCCAGGTTAGAAAGGTCTGGGGTCCTGTATGAAAGAGTACTTGAAGAGCAGTGTCACCATGTCTCCCCTTCTGCTATGATTAAGGACACGTATGAGCACAATTAAAGCAGTTGGCTGTCACACAGCGACCAAGGTCAAAGGGACACAGGCAGCAAGTCTCCAATGAAAGTTCTTCTACACAGCTACTTGATGCGGTAAGGTAAACACTTCCCCTGGATAATTAACAAGATTAATTATTTAACCTTTCTGGCTGCATGAACGTGTTACCTGGGTCATTAATTAGTCAGGGAAATGTTAGCTTTCATTCAAAGGGGTCTGAATTACAGACCCAACAGAACAAAAGCTTGACAGCAACATTACAAAGGAAATATTACACAAATTAAAACTGCAATAGTGTTTTACCTTTCATTGTAACGTTAACACCAGATGCTAGAAACAAGCCACCAAACCGGTTGTTGAAAATTTGATTGCCTTCTAGAGTCGCTGTGGCATGATTTGTGATTTCAATACCTGGTAAAAATAAAGACCACAAATACATGTTCGATAAAGGTTAACCCAAAGAGGTAAAATTACAGTACCTGGATTATGAACTGATTAAAAATGTGAACAAACGCTGACGGTAAAACTAAAAACACCTTATTCTTCTATCCTACATTTTTTAAAATCATTGTTATAATACAGACCTGCTGCAAAGCCGTCGAATATTCTGTTCTTGCGCAAGACAGGATGGCTGTTAGTGCTAATGAGGACACCTGCCTGGGCGTTTCTGAAGATATCATTCTCCTCTAGGAGTCCTACAACATTCAAAAAACCAACTCAAATTAATCAGGACCTACAAGTAACTATCAGTCACATGCAACAGTTCCAGCTACAAATTTGAATATAAAACTGACAGTGCCTTCACCAATCACTCAGCCCATGTTTACTGACAACCTGTACTATACCTCCAGCACAAGAACTCTAACAACGTTTTCTGTACCATAATTGTTTTGCTTTAGAAATGATTTATTCCACACAGATACCGAACTTTACATGAACCTTTTTCTAATGACACTGAACACACAAACCAAGACATACCTCTTCCGCCGTTAAATATGCAGATTCCTCCATCTCTCCCATCATGAATTTTGTTTCTTCGCAGAGTAGGATTACTGTCCGTTTTAATCCAGACACCCGCCATTGCATTATCAAAAATCTCATTGTCTTCTATAAATCCTAAACCTGTATTTAAAAAAAAATATTTTACATAGGTCCCCCTGGATTTTCAGGTTGAATGACCCATTGCTATCGGCTATAAAAAGGTAAAAACTGAAACCTCTTTAAAAAAGCATTTTTTTTCAGGGACTTACCAGAGTTGTAAACAAGGATTCCACCATTTTGCCCTCCCCAGATTTTATTCCTTCTGATCTTCGGGTTACTTCCAGTTCTGACAGAAAACACATTGTTAGAAGCAATGATACACATACATCAACAGTAAAGCAAAGTAACCATGCAAACCATATTTATGGTTATGCCACAAGTAATGGGCATGTCTGAGTACCCACGTACCAGCCCTGAACAGAAAAGGGGAAGCAATTAACATGTGGAAGAAAATGCTCCAACTGTAAATAAAAGATTAGCCCACAACACCCAGTTAAAGACAATCTTTGAACTTTACCATTACTTTAGGAGGTGATGAAAGCCATCACACAAATAAACAAAGATGACAATATATTCAGCTTTGGATTCATGGAAGAGATCATCCTTGACTGCAACGGACAACCAATAAGTGAAAAAGTGAATCTAATGAGCTGAAACTTGCTCACATTCCCTGCTAATAGAGATAAAACAAGAGTCACACAGTAATTAATAACAGTAATTCGTTATAGGAGGCATTAGGTAATACCCACACCTAAATTTTAGACGAGTGCTGTTACCAAGTGATAACACCAACCTGTATTACAGTAAAACAGTTCCATTGAATTCCTTTCCCAATGGGTTGCAAGAGTATAAAAACAAGCTACCCAGGCATACTGTTGAAGCCAATACACTGGCTTCTTACAAACAAACATCTAGAAAAGATCCTTTGATCAATTATCTACCATTTACCAAACAGGCTAAATGGCCCTCCTCTTGTCTGTAATCTTATGTTCTTCTGCAGTCCATGTTCCATGTTCCTGTACATGTGGTATTTACCTGATCTGGACTCCAGAGTACATGTGGTTGTAGATGTCATTGTCTTCAAGCACTCCATGGCCATTGTCATAAAAGTAAACCCCCACCTGTTCAAGAATAAAGACATGTTTATGATTTTCAGTTTCAGAGGATTAAGTAGTTTTGATTCACAAATCAAAATTCCTATCTAGATTCTGTACCTGCTTCCCACTGTGTATTCGGTTTCTACGTAAAACTGGTGTGCTTCCTGTTGTAACCCACACGCCTGCCAGCGTATTGCTGTATACTTCGTTTTCCTCAATTACACCTTGTCCTTTCTCGTGCTGTAACAGAACACATCCATGAACCTTCAAAAGCACTGCAAGAGTACGCTATTTATCCAAGGATTAGGACAATTAATACTTTAATATATGACACATATAAGACATGCCTCTCTTCAAGCTTCCACTGATTGTTCACAAAATAAAAGTCTACATTAGTTTATACAGTGCCAGTATTTAAAATACACTTTCAGGAACTTCTAGACAGCTGAACGCAGGCTAGCTTGAATAAACATGTATTTTATTCTGTAAATAAAAATACCAAGTTAGATTACAGCTAACACAATGGCTGAATCAAAAAATGGGAATGACACTGGTTTAACTCCATTTTCTGATGGAATACACTGGCAACTGGCATTTTTACTATGAACTTTAGATGGCTACAAAAACATGTTATGCTAAAAAGACCAAAAATCTGCTTACCACATAAATGCCTCCGTGCTGCCCATCATGAATTTTATTGTGTCGGACAATAGGGCAGCTGTTTGTTCGGATCTGTATACCCGCCAGTGCATTGCCATAAATGTCATTTCCTTCAATAAGGCCTCTTCCATCACCAAATATGTACACTCCACCTTGATTGCCATTAAAGATGGCATTGCCCCTGCAAAAAGTATTTCCATAATTAAGTATAATAATATTATTAACTTCCACTTATATAGTGCTTTTCTGGACACTCCACTCAAAGCGCTTTACAGGTAATGGGGACTCCCCCTCCACCACCACCAATGTGCAGCATCCACCCGGATGATGTGATAGCAGCCCTAGTGCACCAGAACACTCACCACACATCAGCTCTCAGTGGGGAGGAGAGCAGAGTAATGAAGCCAATTCATAGATGGGGATTATTAGGAGGCCATGATTGGTAAGAGTCAGTGGGAAATTTGTCCAGGACGCCGGGGTTACACCCCTACTCTTTTCGAGAAACACCCTGGGATTTGTAATGACCATAGAGAGTTAGGACCTCTGTTTTACGTCTCATCCGAAGGACGGTGCCTGTTTACAGTATAGTGTCCCCGTCACTATACTGGGGCATTAGGACTCACATGGACCCATGCTGGCCCCACTAACACCTCTTCCAGCAGCAACCTTAGTTTTTCCCAGGAGGTCTCTCATCCAGGTACTGACCAGGCTCACACCTGCTTAGCTTCAGTGGGTTGCCAGTTGTGAGTTGCAGGGTGATATGGCTGCTAAAACCTTCTATATTATACATCAGAATATTTTATTCTGTGAACCAATGCTTATTTGAAAAAAAAAAAAACATATAGCATGACATAACTATTTTCCTTTGGTAATATATTCTGAGTTGGAAGGTCTTGTATACATCTTCAAGAATTTTGAGAATAATCCTGAAAGTGGTATCCGATGAGCACCAAACAATGTCCTCCATATTTATTGATAACCCTGATGACAACAAAAAAATTACACTGTCTTGCTTAAATAAAATTATAAAAAATTATACTTTAATCATTACAGTAGTGTAGTAATATTTGTCAGTAAGCCGAATTACAGAAAATAAGGTTAGGTATTAAACCTTATAATACGTATTTTGCTTTGCATATAACTGATTTTAAAAGGGAACTTGCAGTGTCACTTATACGGCAATATCAAGAGCTGGGAAACAAAATGGTGATTTATCAAAGCCAATCATATGGAGACACCAGACTGCCAAAATGACACAGACGCCTTCAAAACATTACATAAAAACAAGCATTTTAGGAATACATACCATCGCATTCCTGAGACCTTTATGAAATTCTTTCAACCTCTACCACTTTTCAAGTATGGATTATTTAATACTGTTTAACACAGCACTTTATTTCTGCACTTCCAAGATCCAAGACATGCTGGAACTTACCTAATAGTGGGGTCACTGTTGGAAGTTATCCATACACCCGCAAAGTTGTTTGCATAGATTTTGTTCTCTATGAACTGGCCTCTTCCTTTCTCGTGCACATAGATACCCCCAGTCTGACCGTGGTGGATTTCACATCGGACCACTGTAGGGTTTGCGTAGGCTTTGACTTCGAACCCCGCTATCCTGTTCCTGTGGATGTTGCAGCTTTCAAAGTAGCCCTATGGAAAGATCAATCAGGTTAAAGGTCTCATACCGTGTTCACGGCGAGAGCCCCGACAACAACCTGTTAAATCAAGGTAATACAACTATCTCCTGTACACATCTACAAGCAAGCAGCTATTCAAAAATAATTGTTGCTTTAAATATTTTAGATGACATCCAGTATTTACAGTTTGACCTCTTAAGACAAGTATTGTTGGTTTTTCAACATTTCAAAAAGTCCTTTTAGGAGATGTAAATATTGAATTTATTATTGTGGTACTTAATAAAAACTGCAAGAAAATAAATTACATTACATAAAACAACTTTTAAGCTGAGCAAAAAGTAAATGGCCTACCAACACATCACACCTCCGTTATCATTTCAGTCAGGCCTTGAAGTTTGATTTGAACAGAATTTTGTAATAACAGTTTGCAGACAAATTACAAATTAACCAAGTTGTGTAGTTCAATTACCATGCCATGATCAAAAGTGAAAACACCAACATCTCTCCCATGGTGAATATGATTCCTTCTGATGATGGGATTCCCATGGTTTTTCACCCAAATTCCAGCTAAAGCATTATTGGAGATCTCATTATCCTCGTATATGCCCTGAGGGAAAATTGCATTATATTACCTTTACAGAACCTCCATGCATCTTCAGAACTGGCAGAAAAACATTTTACCCCCTGCCTTGCCTAAAACTGCATAAGTATTTCGCTAGTCTTTTAAATACTTGATTTCACTGATCCTGATCTCTAACTCTAAATGAAGGTGTATTTATGTTTGAAAGGATGCTTGAAACCCAGACCATTTTACTAAAAACTCCAGACTAAGGTAACCCAATCTACCTAAAAATTAATTTAGTGCACAGTATTAGTCAGCTTAAAAAAAGGTTTAGAGTGCAACTTAAGCACACTGCAGAGCACTATAAACTATAAAGTTAGTAAGCCAACATTTCATTTTCAATTCTCCATCTACACCCACTATATCCAGTAGCTACCAAGCTAACTGCATGTTTCATTTTACAGTACACTACTCAAAACTTTTTTTTAAAGTTACAAGCTGCCGTTTTTACCTGTGCATGATCCGTTATGTACAATCCCACGTTTTCACAATCACTGATGTTACAGTGTTTGATGGTAGGACAAGCGCCCTGACCGCTGACGCAGACTGCTGAACCAACTAGGAGAAAAAAGGCACACTTTCACACCAAAAAGAGAAGAAAACATCTCAAAGAAAAAAAGTCAAAATGCTCAGCTTGGGTCTTAAAGTAGTGCAGCAGAACAGAAAAACATACTGCTAAATGAATAACTTCATTGTTTAGAATTACAAAGCCAGCCAAGTGCCTAAGGCTGATCTTTCCCAAAAAGTTGCCAGAAAAATATTCTATACCTCATCAGGAAATAAGTAAAGACGAACAGTTTCCCAGTTTTTTTAAACTAGATGCCCTGCCATATTATAAAACAATCTCTAAATTTGCTTTTAATGTTTTAGCATTCTATTAAGAACACCATAGACTCATATTTATGCAGAACATTTTTACACAAATCTGTATACATGTGGAAGGCAACAAAAAATAAATGAAAAATCAAAGAATGTAGGAAATGTCACAAACTCAAATATAGCATGGCATGCATCTGAGCTACACTTTGGGAACTGGCTAGGGAGGCTATAACACGCCTGTGCTTTCTTTATTGTGCAGCATCCCCTCAATATGGCTTGTAAACTAAAAACGAGTATGAAGGGGAAATGAACATTTACAAATGGAACCCCCTCCCCAACTATTTCCCCAAATAACTCTGAATAGAGATAAGTCAAGTGTGCAGCACCTTCACCATCATGATCTCCATCAGCTGCACACTCCTTTCATATTCATCATCACTAGGAGGTTATGGTGAGTGTTCCCTGCATTCTATTATTAAAAATTCAGTATTTGCTGAATTACCGTTTTATAATACATACACATACTGATACAATTGATTTTACTTGTTTAAGGAAAGTGAATAGGAGGGTATAAGAGGAATGTTCCGATTATACACAATTTTGGGTATAGGTGCAAAGTCAGGAACTGAACTACCTAGTAAAACACGGGTCTACTGTACATATAAATACTGGTACATATAATGATTTGAGAAAAGATTAAACATTCTTCAGCTAAATGTAGTGAAATGCTGCTGTGATGGAACCACAAGGTCAGGCGTTTTAACCCAGATTTTACAATTAATGAGGTACTAGATTTGGTGCAACTTGAAATGCCAATTAAAGCTTAAACCTACTGAATGGAGGGATTGGAAAACAAAAATAGCAACAGTGGACTTATGAATTAATGAATCAGAATTTGTAAATGATTCACCTCAGAGAAGTATGAACATACAGATCACATGGGTGATTCTCAGCTACAGGTAGCTACATTTATGTCCTCATTAAGACAGTACAGGGAAAGATTAAAAAAGCAAACAATGTTTGGGTATATAGTTAAGTGCACAATTTATAACTGAAGGAGAGCACACTCAGGCTTCACAATGCTGTAAGACAGGGAATCATTCTTCTTGCCATCTTGGTTTTGTTAAAGAAAAACGGGAAACAGGTTACAGCACCTAGATCCCTAGTCTAGAACAAAGGAAAATGAGAGGAGATTTGATGCAAATATAGAACATCCTAAAAGGTTCAGATAAGATCAACCCAGAGAACTATCTCAGACTCAGGTTACAACTTTAAAATAATAGGGAATTCACTAAGTACTGAGAGTAGGAATGCTTCTTTACACAACAGGGTATCTCAGCTGGGTGGTTTAGGCCTAAACCCTGGGCTCCTTCCTGCAACAGAATGGAACTACTAAAGAACAAAATGATTAAAATGGATTGAGTAGCTTTAAACTATTTTCACAAAGAGTTGTTTTAAGACTTAAAGGATACAGTATGTTCTTTTCAAATATTTCTTAGGTTTCATAAAGGAACATTATGTTCTTAAGCATCTGAATATTAAGGATGTAATTAGAGCACTGAATGCCACAGAATATCATACAAAATGTTAAGCACCAGATGCCAGAGTCAAAGCTTGCTTAGGGTGTCACTCACCTGTGCATGTGCTGCGAATGATGCAGTGATCTATAATGGGGCTACAGTTGACTGTGATCTCCAGGCAGTGGTGTGCATTGTGATGCTGGGCCGATTTGTCATCCGGGTTAAACTACAAAAACAGCAACACAATAGCTATTAGACAGCCAATGTTTACATGTAGTAGAATCTTAGTTTACATGTAAAAGACTGAACAGTTTAGAGACTTTTGTAGCCTGAGGAAGTAACCTGTATGATATAATTTCAAATACTTTAAATGTCAAACAAAATACTTCAGGACATTGAGTGTTTAAAACAAGAATAGCACAGCTACAAGCAAAATAAAGAAAGATAAAGTCAGCATAATCCTTGAATAGTTCAGTCACCGCCAGGAACACACACAGGTCTTTGACGTTTTAAAGAATTAACTTTGACCTCAAGAAGTTAAAGCAGTTTTCTACCAGAATATTAGTTTATCTGCATTAATAGAAAAGAAAATTAATATATTAGGTCTAAAGCTTTAGAAATGTACCCCCACATGAACACTGACATTTCATGGTTAAGTGTGAAATGGAGGTAGAACCCAGAATGGCCCTGGAAAGAGGAGCAACATGCTCAGCAAATTGGTGCCTGGTACAGACACATGGCCAATCACAGGCTGAGTGCTACAATCCAGGCCTGTGATAGTCACTAGCCACCAATAGTAGGGTTGAAATAATTGGCCACAGTTTCTGTAGCTCTCTGCAAATGCAGCCAACCCTGTGGCCTTTCAAAAGACTGTAGTACTGTCGGCAAAGGATATGCCTCTATTCTGAACAGCGCTGAACCTCTGGTGAGGGTCAAAGACGAATGGCTCAAAAGTGGGTGGGTCACAGAAATGTACCTTTACTTCCATTACCTCTCCTATATGAGTTAATACAGTGCATAGCCATGAGCCAAGATATGAAAAACAATTTGTCATCATGCAAGTATTTAAAAAAAATTGGTAATTCTAAATTCAATCTTATTTAAATAATTTTTTAAAGAGGGGGAAATGATTAATGTATCACAGGAGAACTCTGTACCCGGATAGTCATGTAGCCCACATAGGCATCCTCAGACCCCTCCATAAAGACAAACGTGGAGTCTCTAGTGTTCTCAATTATCACTTTGTCTGCTACTTTCCCAGGTGCTGAAAAACAGAGAAAGAAAGAAAAGCAAGGTTATTTCAAACTTGAGTTTTTAAATTTAAAAACATGTATTCATTATAGTGTTGGTCTGAAATGTATTCTGGCTTTGCAAAGTGGCTGCTAAACTGACTAGAAAATAGTATATTTTGTTGCAAAAGAAAACTGCTACCTAAAGAATTCAGCTTACATAGTAGAAAAACTGAAGATTTGAAAACGTTCGGTATGTTTACATGTCTTAGACAATGCTGTACCAATATAGTGATTTATACTGCACGTTTCACGACAGGTTTTAAAACAGTGCTTGGATTTCTTTAAAGAAACAAGTCCAGGTTAATTCCACGACATAGGCATATTTTGAGCACAGAATTAGCCTCTATGTATTTCTTTGCAACTTGCCTGCAGACAGTTCCCCACTCAAAACTTTCATAAATCTTTAAGGAAATTTAATTAAATGTTTCCATACAAGATGGCTAGGTACTAAAGCATATCATGCTCAGTTTACAAGATAGTTAAAGCAAACTGCTCTTATACATGCACACACCTAAGCATGGCTGACTGAACTATCACTTAAGAACATGTCTTGTAAAATGATACGCTACTAAACCATAGCTGTTATAATAATCTGGGCTGCAAAACAAGTTAACTATATTGTTAAGTCTTTTCTGCAATTACAAAAATGCATGTGGAGTGTACCTGCACCGATCATTGTGATTGGTGATTCAATGTAGATCCATTCATCAGTGTAGATTCCAGAGTGAACAAATATCAGACCATCAAAATGTGCTTCCTGAACTCCACCCAATGCATCTTCAATTGTGTCATAATACTGAGGAAAAATTAAAGCAGGAAAATGCTGAATAAAATGTAGTACACAACATTAACTTCAAAAACCCACTATAGCTTTATCACAGTGCAACCCTTATTTAAATGTTATGTTATACTATTTTGCAAACACTTATCTCAAACCAACACATTTTTAAGGCAGTATTTTTAGCAATAACATTTTAAGCTTTACAATTAATGATCACGCTCCTAAAGAAAACAGCAATAATTAAAATGAATTTTATAAAGACCTTAATCACAGGAACTATCAATGAATGGCATGAAAATGAAAAAACATACCAACATATTTTCTCTCCCTTTGTATCTGGCAGGGTTACTGTAAAAGTGTTCTGCAAATCCAGGTTTTACATGTGCCCCTTTATACTGGAAACAGAAAAGGTCATTCATGTATTAAACTATTTTCAATCTATGAATCACATGTACTCATTCAAACATACACTACACATTTTTATTGTCACTGTGCAATTGCCACTTCACAAAATATCCATTCTGAAAAACTGTTACACAATCCATTTATGCTTTTTAATTATTCATGTTACCAGCCACATTCTTGAGTACTTCCGATATTGGATGCCTGTCAAGCAAAATATCCAGTCAGAAGGATGGATAGCTTCATTTTATCAAAGAGAAAACTAGAAGAGTCATATTTACGAAGCAAAAAAAAAATTTGTTTGCAAAACAAAGAGAAAAGTTTTTAACTCTTAAGGTTTTCTCCAAAAGCAAGTTCAAAGAGCAAAAATATATATCAAAGACATGATCACAAGGTTCACATACATATCAACTACAGTAAAGCAGCTTATATGAAGTTGGATCACGTACACCGAGAACCTATAACTTTCCATCTTCTGATGACAACTTGCAGAGTTCTAAAAGGCAACTTGGAACATACCAACTGCTGAAAGCTTTCTTTCCAGGGATTTGGCTGCTCGTATTCCTCCGGGTTAATCTGATAGAATTTACCAGTTTCAGGATGCATCATTGGACGCGTGTATTCAAACACTTCCATGTATAGCCTTTTCCTGCAAACAAACAAGATACAATTTGCCAGGTGTGAGCAAAGCACCTTTAAGCATTTTTGAAGATTTCAAATCCCATAGACTTCCTAAACATTTGAAAAAACTAAGAGAAAGTAATAGCAAACAGCCAATCACTTACCACAAAATTGGATCATTAGCTAGCTCACTGAAGCGTTTACACACACAGGCCGCTCGACACAGATCCTGCTCTAGCAGGTATGAGAAGATTTTCAGAACCACCTCATCTGGTAGCTTTTCTTGGAGATATTGTTCAGCTGGGGCAGCTGTAAAACGGAAATGGTGTTTCAGGATTAAGTTTTCCTATTTTGTATACAGTGAAAACAGGTATAGATAGAAACCAGTGGTGTTGGTATTTGCATAGAACTTATGAAAACTACGCTGCATCCAAGTGTTCAACAGTCCAAGTACTAAACTGTTGGTAAGAACTGCAAAAGGCATATTTAGGACTTTCTGCATTAAAGATTTGCATGTTTCTCTGATACTATATACATTGCAGAAAAGTAATGTACAATCAGAGACCTGTAACTTTTGTTTGCAGTCTGTTTTTGTAAAGAACATATCCACAAAATATTTTTGTAACAAACAAGCCAGCATGAGCACAAAGGCAGGATGTCTTCCAGTCGTCACGTACAAATCAAAAGGTCTCCATATGAGTGGTGTCTCCAGTTACTTACAAGACTGGCAATACAGATATATAATTTTCAACACTGCTCAAAATAACATTCCCACTAACAAAGTGTTATAATAATATTCCTTATTCATCAACAGAAAAGTTAAAAATATATAGCATTTAGAAGATCCAACATACCTGGTAGGTCTTGTGACTTTCCTGATACTCTAGCACGTTTAGCACGGTGGCCAAAGTTTTCCGTAGTAGATGTGGAAGCACCCTATAAAAAAAGATTAAACAATTCCAATTCATCTCATTTATCAGAACCATTAAAGCTCTTTACAGATCAATTACTGTATGAACATCCTAAACCAAAGATGAGAGCATGTATACAATGAGCAATTATGATGCTTAATACATTACCAAGCTACTCAATGTCAAGTCATTCCAGTTTATTTTATAGTGGAAGTTTTATTACACATATCGATGCAATTAAGGAGCTTGAGGGTAAGAGCCCTGCAGCAGCAGTAGTTTCACTTGCTACTGTTACAAGTGCAGATTAGACTTTTTTTTCACAAGAACAAGCAGTAGCTATGAATTATGGGAAGACACTATAAAATAGAATAGAAACAGACTTATTTCACTTTACGAATATAAAGACAATTGGTAGCCACCGAGTCTTGTTTTACCATTATTAGTACATATAGTGATGTAGCTAACTTTGATAAGTGAGACAGTAAATATGCATGTTACAATATTGACCATTTTCAGGGCTATGGTATTTATTTTTTTTAGATTGAGAGGAAAAAGTTTAATCACCCAGAACTATAAAAAAACCACTTTACATGCTGCCTTCTGTAATTTTATTCTTTAAAACAGACTATCTGCCCCACAGGTCCTTGTAATGAAACTTGCCACAGGTTGTGAGAGCCTCAAAGCATCCACTTTATAAGAGCATCCCTTAGCAGTCACTCTGTAAATACTATACCTCCATGCTGCTCTTTGCAGGACAAGCTGTTCGCTTTGGTAACAGAGACTTTCTGCGGAGTTGGTAGGGACTGTTCTGAGCTCCTGGACCAGATTCTTCTGCAACCATATCTGCTGGAACATCCTCATCTGCAATGAAAACGTCATGATTAAACTTTAATTCAATACATGCACAAGTGGTTCAGTCAGTAGTGGTGCTGCTTAGGAGTACAGGCAGAAACCTAGAGATAGCCAATGACCTACATCACCAGCTGGCATCTGGGCTATGGCACTGGCTGACTAACTATGATTCCCAAAGAGTGTGCAAAAGGCTGAACACCACCAAGGTGAGGTAAGGTCTGATCTGTCAGAGTAATCGCTAAAGACCATGTTTGAGTTGCCAGGCACCTTTGAGATAGAAGACTTAACGGTTTTATATACTGACATTTCAAAACTGATGGTAACTCTTGGTTAAGGTTTCTAATTTACACCAATTGTCTGTATACCAGAGAGACGAAAACAAATGTAAAAAAATGCCAAAGCTTTAAAGTGTCAGCCAGAGGTACAATCAGAACAAACTCAATGAATCATAAGTTGTATAAATCCATTAGTGTGACATTCAGTAATGTGATTTAAATTCACAAGCCTTTTACAATTTTTTCAAACAGGATACCTCTGAAAATGAATACTTTCCATTTATAAAATACACCTATGAATAATAACCATTACAGGCTGTCTGTCACTAAGAACAGCTTATTTGGCAGACAACTTAATCAGACATCATGACAATAAAATGATGTCCTCACAACATAAAACTGAAGCTCAGACTTTTGCAGAAAGCCTACTGGCTCTTTGACTTAAGCTAAATGTAATTACAATAAGACATGCATAACATCTTGAGTCTTATCTAGGTAGTTCACTCAATTTGCTTATATCTGATAATCTTACTAAAGGAAGTTCTCAACATCATGAAAACAACCGTTGGCCAGGACATTTACATAAGCAAGATAATGTGCACAAAACCAACCTTCATTGCTGAAAAAGCTTTTGGTAAAAACTAAGCAATTTTTAGAGCTTTTAGAAAATGACCAGTAGGTCACCACAGACAGAATCAGATCCATAAAGCTTAAATCCTGGTATATGGTATGTAAAGATACAAGTCACTGCAAGTTAGATCTTTATAGACTTGTCTCCAAATTGACAAAAAATCACTTTAAGGACTTCACTGACTATCTTTGGTAAATCACCAAAACTAGCTTTACCATAGTTTTTCTTAGGCATCAAAGACTTAGTGGTATAATCTACCTTATCTACACAAGCCATATGATAGTCATACATGCATAATAAAACATGTAACAATCTGTTTTAAAAGATATCAGGTAGCTAAAATGCATAGGCAGAAAAGACAAGGAGTCTAATAAAACAAGCAAGGTAAATTCCTGATCTAACTTTCTCAAGGATTTTCCAGGCAGATTCCCATCCATAGTGGGTATTAGAACCCAGGCATACAGGTTAATGGCACATTCCTCTGCCAAGCAAGGGCCTCACTGCTAACAAACACCAACAACAACTTCCATGCCTCCGAACTGGCCAGTACAAAAGTTACTCTAGGCTTTCATGTATATGGTCTCAGGCAGCAATATCTTGGCAAGGTCCAGCCTATGCAGAATAAACGGAATGAGATAGCAGTTTCTTAGGATTAGCCTCTCCCCCAATTCAGGTTTGATCACTATAATCCTGTTAGTTAAACCCAAGTGCTACTGAAGAGCACTATTGACCTGTCAGATGGAAATCAGCAGCATCCCAACTGGAGAAACCCAGAAACACCCAAGCTATTCATGGAAAATCTTGAAGGCCAAGATCATATCTTGGGATTTAAGTAGCATAACAGAAACATTGTCAATCAGCTTCAAGCACTGGTCTCTTAACTGCCTGTCAATTTGTCAAACTGTTGTTTGCATTTGTATATTGTCATCTGCTTCCTAACTCAGTTTCTAGGTCTTAATTTAAACTAATGGCCTGCAAAAAGCCAGAACAAAATGGGAATCCCTGCCTCAAAACCACCACACTCAGATACATGGTAATGTATACTTTTAAACACAATTCTTAAATAATTAACTAGGTGGGAGAGGGTGCAAGGTGGACTGACCAGAGGTGAGTCCCAGTCATTATGCTGAAAACCCCATGCATTCATTAAGAAGGCTTCCTTCAAAGCAATTATCTGGACACTGATTGTCAGCACACTGAATGAACTTATTCATTATCCTTTCTTGTATCACATTGTATTACATATATACCCAAACACAAGCCATGTGCATGGATACCTTTCAACGCATTATAATACATGTATTATATATATATATTCAGGTACAACTCCAGGAGAGTCTATGTAACAGTGGCAATGCTACTTGCATATCAATTCTATTTTAATTAAGAAAAAACTCATCTAATTTCCCTCTGCTAACTGCACTTGAAAAGTTCCAACACAGAGAACAAATTTTAAGTGTGAAACAGCTGTGCTGCTTCCTCAGAAATATGCAACATGAAAACTTCATTTTGAGCTATAACTAGGTGTGCAAGAGGTGTATTGAACTGGAAGCTACAACAATCACTATTAACACAAATTTCCATACCATGCCAACATGGCTTACAAACTGCAAAGTGATGAAACCAAGCCAGGATATCCTCACAGAAACTGAACAACCTTGTAGAGAAGCGAAACTACAGATAAATAACCATCATCATGGTAGCTATTGATTCAGAGAGATCAAGATGGGAATTTTAAAATAAGTTTTCCAATTTTACTTAATAAACCTCCAAAGCTAAAGACAACTGTCTGAAACTCCACATTTTGTTATAGATATTTGTCTATACACCTTCCATGTGTCAGACAGCAGAGATTGGCTGCTTCAGAACATTATATTCTCCCTCTTTTTTCAGTGCTTTAATTTCTAACACTCCAGTACAGCTGTCTGTTATGCAAGTGAAGTGAATGCCTTACACACACCAAACACCAACGTGCCGTGCTAGCATTAAGTAGAAAAGGTCCTGGCACAACCTCTTACTAGATTCATGGAAACCATAAGGTATGCTTTTACAGCAGTGACAACAGCTCCAGAATGGCTTTCTAGCATCATGGAAACGTAACAAATGACTCTGAACTAGCACATACAGAACTATTTAATAACCCTAATTTCTGAATTATTAGCATGTTGTGCTATTTCCTTCATGCTTTATTAAAAACATTTTTGAGTGTGAAGGCATCTTTATCACCTCACAATTAGCCCTCTCTCTTACTCCAGGCTTACTGCGAAGGAGATAAGAACCACATTTATACAAGAGTTAGGGAAGAAATTAAAATAACCTTCTACAGCCATCAAAGGCTGGATGTTTATAGTAAACCTGCAAGCATACAGTAGTCTTCGCATAGTATAGTAAAGCAGTAAAGCAAATTATTTTATCATTTTCCGTAGGAACCAGAAGACACTTTAAAAAAATAATTGACGTAAACATAGGTCTTTTCCCCACAGACGGCTCCTTACTTGATGTACAGCTACAAATGCAATAAATAAGCTGTATTAATGCATATTTAGTCTGATTTGAATGAAATTTAAAAGGTCACTGGCAGGGAAAACCTGACCACATCAACAATATACTCCTACACACAGAGCTAGACTACAGAACAAGAGTATGTCCGAGGAAAGCATGAGACAAATTCAAACTGATAACCCATTTTCTGTCATATTGCCATCTCTATTGCATTATGGTTAAAAAAAGCATTTCTGACTAGAACAGTAACTGTGCCTGGCACTTACACGTTACCGACATCATTTCTTACCCATCATAATACAGTGAAAGGAAACTATTCCAAACCAAATGTTTTCAATTAAACTTGCGTCATTGGTAAGAGGCATTGAAAGTACATTCTAGTGGTCTATTCCACAGTGGGAATGACGGTAGTAATAAGCTCATGTTAACAAGGTAGAATAACATTTAAACCAATTACTGTTAACCATATCCTCTCCATTGTAAATGTGAAAAAAACACAAAGCTTTTAAATGTTAAATCACTATTCACATGGCATGATCACCATTTTTTTAATTTTTAAGAAAGCTGATTTTCTGTTTCACCTAAGACTAAAACATGATAAAAAAACCACTTAGTATTTAATCAATGAAATCAGTTCAGTACCTCCTTTGGTAACTATAAAAGTTGCTGTTGTATCACTTTACTTAACGTCTTTTGGCATTTACAGTATGCAGAAACAAAGCGATTAAAGTTTTTCTTCAATCCCTTGTAAAAATTTAAGGAAAAACATCTATCAGAAGAAAATGGGTATTGCACAGGCCAGGGTGATGCAATATTTTTCAGGAACAACAGACCTTCCTGTATGAAAGAGAGCACCACTCTTGCTCTCCTTTTACTTATCACAGATCAGTGTTGCCTCCTGTTCACTTATATCACTGCTAAAATGTATATGCTTTATCATTAAATGTAATAATACCACTACTCCTACATTTTCACTCAGGCAGACATTTTCCCTTGAAGTAATTTCAGAAGTATAGCATACCATACTCAATCTTTTACTGTCTCTCTGAAACAAAATGGTATAATAAGCAATGTTTTAGAGAGAGTCATATTTTAGATCAAAAGAGCTAATGTGACAAGTTTGTTAAAAAAGCCAGAACTAAAACCAGGACTGATCTTGAACCAGATCATTCAAAGAATTCAGGTATGGAAGCACAGAAAACACATCCCAGAAACAAAATGCAATTTGTTACATTCCATTTTATAATTCTGTGTACATAAGTGTACATGCTTTAGAGTGCACCTACTTCTGCTACTAAGTAATGATACAGCATTAGGATAAAACCTGAGACACCTTTTGCATCTAGTAGGCCATTTGTCCCCATTTGTAAGAATTACAATGAATATAAACATAACAAATCCTGAAAGGTAAAATGAAGTGATGGAAGACTAATTTACATTCATTACCAGTCAACTATACTATACATTCTGGCAGCCAACTCGCAAATGCAAAGTAAAATAAACAATACTTCTAATGTGACTAGTTAGATGAGTAAGTTAGATCACCAGACAAGTATTGTACGCATTACTTGCCATTTCACGGGAACTTTGTGCGGGAGATG